ATCATTTAATTCTGAGATTCCATGTGCATTTTGAACATATCATAAAATTCCTGATGATGTGGGGGAAAAAGGTGAATGCAGGCAAAATTAACTAATCAGTTTTCAAAGTTTCAGAGTATTATACTGATCTCATTCATGCAAATGGGACCTCCCAGATACTGATTTTCCTCATCTGTATTTCTTTAATGAATGTCTGATATGAGCTATTTGAGGTAGCTACTGTTTCATCAGAAATAAAGAAAAGAAGTGTGACATGCTTATTGGAATCTTAGATGCCACTGGGAAGATTAGCCTCATAGGCTTATTCTGCCATGAAGCTGATAGGGTGTTCTTCAACAAACCTATGCTTTCTTGGCCTGAACCTACCTAAAAGGTTTTGTGAAAAAGCATAGGTTGATGAAAAATATCTTCAACTTTATGGAAGAAGATAGATAAAAATGAACAAATATTTCTATTATCCAAGGAACAGATCTAAGAAACCCAGGAGAGATCAGCAAATGTTTTTTTGGAATCCAAGTATCTATCCAATCTTGGCTGCCTTAAAAAAAGCAATGTAGAATGGAATGTGGTTAGTACTTGAATGGAAGAACCAGAATAGGACAACTAGGACAACCCACAATTGTAAGTTAAAATGAAAAATCAAAAATATCAGAGATGATGGCAAAGGCAAACCATACTGTTGTCAAGAAAACTACATAGAAGTGTTCATGAAGACGTCAGGAATCTAGCTCAACTTGCAATTTTTAGTTTTTTAAAAATATATAGCCACTTAAATTTTGGGGCAAATTTTAAAAGGAAAATTGGGTAATTTGGGGTGTAATCTCCTTGATTTACAATCATTGTTTATCAACCATTTGAAGTTACAAAAGTGCTGAATAGTACCTTTGACTGGTCCTCCCATGGTCATGTGATCAAAATTCATGCATTTGGTAAATGGCGTGTATTTACAATGATTACAGTGTTCTGGGGATCATTTGGTCACCATTTGGAAACCTTCCCAGCTGACTTCCAACAAGCAAAGTCAATGTGGGAGGGATGCCGGATTCATTTAATGATCATGAGATTCATTTAATGGCCATTGTAATTTGCTTAATGACCAAAACAAAATGTCTTAAAATTGGGTGTAATTCACTTAATGACTGCCTCACGTAACAACAGAACTTCCAGTCACAAGTTCTGTATCTGATAGTAAATAGCTATTTATTTAATGAGGCTCATTTGACAAAATCAAATGAACCCAATCAGCCTTTGATTTTTGTAAAAAAGGAAAAGAGATACTTTTCTTTTCAAAAAAAAAAGTAATCAGAAACCCACATCCCAACAAAATTCAAACTCATAATACAATCTGGAATAGCTTGAGGCTTGAATAATTATCTACATATTCAGTATGGCTGGACAGATCTTCAATAGAGTGTTCGATAAAACTTCAAATAATACTATCAAAGCAGGTTGACAAATCAAAGTGGATATTTTAATGACCTCTGCACGCCTTCTGTGCATGCGGAGAAAACCTTGTAAAGCAAAGCAAAGCAGCTGGTCAGGTTGAATCAGCTCACTTCTATACTGTATTTTATTTTGGGACTCTCAGGCTGATTGACTCAATTTTCCAAGTTGAGGTACTAGAATCAGATAGTCTTGAATTGGAACTGTGCTGTTTTGATAGGTCTAATTTTCAGCAGAAGAAATGGGAGGAGGGAGAGGTTTTAATGCTAATCAGAAGTACTTCGCCTGATTGCATTTTTTTTGTATCTCAGAGAATCCTTGATACGCTGTAATTATAATTATATAGCAGACATGCAAATTTGTATTATTAGTCTCTTTCAATCCTCCACAGCTTTGTTTTGACAGTTCTGTTGCATATGGTTTATATAAAATCAGTGCTTGTACTGCTCTGAGAAGCAGCAAAAACTTAATTCTTATTTGCATAATGCCATTACAGCAAGACTTGTGTGTAGAAGAAAAGGATCCCCTTCAACAATATGAACAGGTGTGTCTTCAAAAACATCAGAATTGGGTTTTCTGAAAAAGGTCCTCTCATAAGTTTGTTGATTCCAACACTGAATATACTTAGCTGTGTTATTTAATTTCTAACTAGTAGTGGAAGCCTGAGAGGTAAAATTATTGCAACATCACTATGATTTCTTTTCCTAAATCCTTCTTTGGTTTTCTTTAGCATCCTTTGTTTATCCAATTTTGGTGTAATTAGTGGTGCAAAGCAATCCTGCTAAGTGAAAAACTCTTGCCTGTTTTTGCTGCTTCCAAATCTTGATTTACTTCCTAGAATGCCTCTCTGTGACTATTTCTCTTATTTCCTTTAAAGCAGGAATCTCCAACCTTGGCAACTTTACGATTTGTGGATTTCAACTCCCAGAATTCCTCAGCCAATCATGCTGGCTGAGGAATTCTGGGAAGTGAAGTCCGCAAGTCATAAAGTTGCCAAGGTTAAAGATCCCTGCTTTAAAACATTCCTTAAAATTGTTTTTTTTTCCCTGGAAAGCTTTTGCTATAGTCTCATCCCAATATTTACTGCAGCTAAACCAAATGATGAGTAATTGAAATGATGATATAATACCTTGTTTCATTTACCTCCATTTTCAATTAATTTCCTTGTGTCTTTTAAACCTACAGGATACATATAGAGAGAGCAGGGAGCTCTATATTTTTAAAGTAATGTTGATATTATTGATAATGCCATGTGAAACCAATGTTCTTGTTTTACTTTAACGCCACAATTTTGTTTGTAACCTAAGCTTAGAAAAATTATTCAAAACTAAATATGAGTCCAATAAGATTTTTCTTACTACCATATAATATGTATATAATATATTGCTGTAGTATGACTGGCTAATCTTATAGATTTTTACTCAAAAATAATGTAACATTAACATGTTTTCTGAACAGATGCAATTCTTGTAACTAATCCAGAAGCAAAATAGGCCTATAACTTTCATTTTTTTTACTATAAAATATCAGTAATATTTTTATTTTGCTAAAGGGATATAATTCGATTTTTTTTTAAAAAAATATGTTGTGCCTAAGTAAAGGTATATATAGAAATAATTCTGTTAAAAAATTGCATTTTGACCTTAGATGAACAGTCTCTAAGGAAACATATTTGTCAAACTAAAACCTTGTAAATATTCGGTAGCTCATAATATTTTGTAAATCTGTTTGCAAAATTTCTAATACTAGACAGTATTATTTGTCAATAGGTATGATACAACTACTAAGCAAGCCATACAGTAAAAATCCGGAAATTAACAAAGCATCCCTATGCATATCTGCACTGAAGTCCCATTAGGCCAAGTAATACTGTAGCACAAACAGAGCATGGCTGCAATATTCAAATGGCCACTAGATAGTAGTAAAGAGATAATGGAAACTCTTAACACTATTTTTCCATCTAGTGGCCATCCAGAATTTTCCAGCCAAGATCTGGCAGCAGATCATCACTCATCAAAGTTCCATCAATATATAATGTTAATGAAATATTAAGATAGCAAACTATGCTTACCTATAAGATTCATTCAGCACAATAGGATTTTCTTTTGACTACATGTATAACTGACTGCATCCTGCATAACACATAGTCAGAAATTAGACCTAGTATGTTCACGGGTTACTCCTTAAGTAAAGGATGGCTACCTGAATTTGGAGACTTCATGTAGGAATGAAGGGAGGAAAGAAGGAAAGGAAGAAAGGTTCTATATACAAAGAATAATAGTAGAAGCTCCTTTCCTCTATAGTGTTAAAACACTAACTAATGATATTCTGTTCTTGCCCTCAATCAGCCTTTGCAAATGGAGTTGTCAGTTCTATCAATTGCTTTTAGTCTTCAATGCTCTGAATTCCTCAGTAATCTCTGAGTTAATGCCTTGCTGTCCTTAGTCAGCCAAAGAGAAGAAATGAAAGAATCAGAATATTTGAGGAAGACACAAGGGAAAACTGACACACAGTGTTTGCGATGGGAATTAACACGTGATGTTTGCTTGAGTATCGTCCGTCCTTTTTTCTCCCTCTTGTTTGCAAATTATATCTCCGAATTACGCAACCACAGGTTCCTGTTTTGTGTGCCGCACCCCTTCCTCATAGCCGCTGTCCTCTCCCCGCGATCGTGTGAATGTGCATGCCCAGAGTTCTTTTAGGAATATTCCCAGTTCCCCTTTGGCGTGCTACTAACCTGCATAGCAGCTTCGTGCCTCATTATCAGCCACACGTCTTCCTCTCTCCGCTTTCTTCCACCTCCGGATTTACTACCGCTAGGATCCAACCAGCAAATCAAGCCCAACCAAGCCAGACTATACGCCCGGCGCAAGGCAGGAGCAACAGCAGCGAACGACACGCTCAGCTGCTGTTCCGCCAAGGATCCAGCGCAGACCGATCAGCACGGGAGCTGTCCACCGTGTTATTCCCCCTCCCTCCCTTCGCAACGATCTGTGGGAGTTGTAGTCAGAGCCGGCTAGGGCTGGTGCCCAATCGAAGGGGAACCTTCGTTACCCACAACTACGGCTCCCAGTGACGCTCGCGCGCCTTTCGCTTCACCCTTTCATCCTCTCCCCAATGTAATCGCTCCATGGAAACGGAAACAAGGGTCTCCTCGGCTTATAGTTTCCCAGCTGTTGGGCAAGTCTTTGCTTGGGCTGCTGCTGGCTGAACTTTCTGAGGAAGAAAAATAAAGCCTTCATCCCAAAACTGGGGTTTCTCCATTAGACTAGGTGGAAGTGAAGTGGACCTCGCCCACTTCCCACGCTTTCTAGCCGGATTAAACCTCCTCTCCCTAAATGGGTTTCCTTCCATTCTGGCGCCGTCGGGTGGAAGGCGCTTCATTGGGTAGGAAAGCTGCCGCCAGCAGAGATCAGGGCGTTCCTTCGCTTAGCCTGGACCTGTCAAGGCAGCCCCTTGATGGTGGAAGGGTGGTGGTGGTGGTGGTGGGAGAACTCGGGTAGTTTCATCGATGCTGGACCTCCCCCCGCCTTTAAATAGAGGAAAAAGAGCCCTACCTTGCCGTACAGTTCCATCTCGGCCTCGTCAAAAGGGCTCCAGAGCCCAGCGGGCAACTCGTCCTGATTTTCGCACACAAAGACTGGCTAAGGCACTGAGCGACGCGGAGGGAAATTGGGGGAGAAAGGGCCAAAGCAGAGCATGTGCTCGCTCGTCTCTGGAAGCTGGAATCCAGTAGCAGCTTTTGGAGCATCGGCCACCCCGTTCCGAGCAGAGTTTCCCAGCACCGCTCTTGGCGTGAGCGCAACCCGGGAGAGCTCCCTTTAGGCGCCTTTGATTTAATTAGCCCCGAAGCAGAAGAAGAGCAGGTGCGGGAGGAGGGAGGGAACATCAGAGGCTGCACGTTGTGGAAAGAGCAACCTGCTCAGAGCAAAACAAAGAAGTGTCAAAGCCAGGATAGCGAGGTAGGTTTGGACACGATTGGCTGCTTGTCAAAGACTAGACGAGATGAAAAGGTTGGGATCTTTCCCCTGCTCTTAATGCCTTCCAGGTGGACCGGATTTTTCTAACCCTCCCTAGCATCATTTATTAGCTGCCTGGAGGTTGTATGAACTGAAATCTAGAATGTTTGGAGAGGACAGGCTGAAGAAGGAATGGTGGGTTTTTTTTGTTTGTTTTTTTTGGTTGATTTACTTAATTCATCCATCCATGATCAAAAGGTAGCAGTTGCTATTCTCCCTTCCTTAGTGATTTATTTATTCTACGCTTTTATCATTCACCCATCTCCAAAGATTCTGGGCAGGTTACAGGAATTTAAAATTACAAACACAGCAAGCACATAAAATTATAAAAACAACCCTAAACCCACCATAATAAAGTAATCCTCCCCTAAGCTGTGTGTACATGTGTTTGCTGAGGGAACCATTTCAGTAGAAGTGCTTATATAGGGTCAACAATTGCTATTTTGCACATCTAAAAATACCAGGGGATAGCAGCAAAGCCTATCATACAAACCTACTTTTTATTTCTGTTTTGTAGTTGCTGTACTGGGTTTTTGTGTGTGTATGTGTGTGTGTGTGAGAGAGAGAGACTTTTCTCCATTATAAGGATGTATTCATTTGTAACTCAGAACTTTTCAGTCTGGGATATCATTAATGGCTATCACTAATGATATCATTAATACTAACCAAGGAAGCTAAAAATTGGCCTTTGTTTAAGAGAGATCATGGAGACCATTGCATATAAGTGCATGGAGGACCATTGCATATAAGTGCATAGATGGGCCATCCAATCTATAATTACTCTTCTAATAGCAAACTAATGCAATCCATTGCAAATAATTTTAGAAGCAAGAAACAAAAGTAGGCTGCATTATATCTAGGAGAGTTCCAAGAGAGAGAATCCCTTTTCATTGCTGAGATCTACCTACATGCTTTTTCAGTTTCCTTAGGGACAGATATACCTCAGTTTTGGAAAAGTTAATCCATATGTTTCATGTTTTTAAAATCTCAATTAGATTGGTCTGTTGGGAGCACCTTTAAAATTAGGAGTCGAATACTCATTACTCTTTGTCCAACAGTGCCACTGTCTCTTTTTCTTCCTATCTCAATAAAATCCATATTGGGGAATTTGGAAGACAGCAACATCCATTACCACCTATCATGATTTCTTCTTTCACATGTATCACCTTCAGCAAAGTCAGATATGAATACTCCCACACATTACATGCTCAGATAAGTATGTATCTTAAGTGGAGTAAACTTTAGAGCATTTGCTATTGTCCTCTTTCTGAGCAGCCTGCCAACTCTCCCATCTCAACTGACGGGGAGAGAATAAGAACCAGTTCAGAACCAATTCCCAGACAGGGAACATTTGCTTCTATTCTGTTCATGCGCTCATATTGCAATAGTGGAATGGCTACTGATTAAAAAATAATTTTGTCTGCAGAAAAAAATTGTCACAGTGTAATAAGTCACCTCATAGAGTTCTAGATGTTTATGTTGGAATCATTCCAGGTTGTATTACACTTTCACTTGCTACTTCCAGTCCATTGGCTTGTAAAGGAGTGCCAGAATGTGTTGCAACATCAAAAATAGATGAATACTGTGATATTTTACTTGTCTATTTCAGTGAACAAAAACAGTGACAATTTTGTTGTGTTTTTTTCTTGAGAACAAAGGTAAAATGTTGTTTACAAATCCATCAAACATTTTTTCTCTATCTGGTTAAGATGATACCCAATGCATTGTTATTATCTCTAGCAATGAAATGGAAAATAGCTTTAAAATAACAGCTGGGATTCACCGTAGACTACCAGATTTAAGTTAAAGCTCAGGATTTTGACTGAAAACAAGATGTATGTTTCTAACATCATGTTGATGTTGGCTTCTCATAATTTGAAATATTTATATATTGAAAAAGTTGATAGGACTTGAAGCATAACAAGTTAATTAGTTAAAGAGTATCAGAGATAAAGAGATTCTTAATGATTGGTAAAAATATTCTTTAATATTCCAACATTTCTGAATTATTTATTTTCTTCACTAAAGCCTAACCAGAAAGGAACAAAACAATATTATGTTCTTATATCTTTAAATTAGTGATATTTTCCATATGATTACTTTTCCATGAAATTCTTATTTGGCAGCCAGAAACAGTACTAAAAGAAATATTTCCAATATAAACAATGCACAGTCATTGAAAATGAAATAGTTATATAATAAATGCAACAGATAATTAACATTTCTGTTATATGCATAAAGTACATGTAGCCTTCCCTAGACTGAGTCTTCCAGAATTTCTAGCTAGCATGCTTATTGACTAGGCTGGTGATATTTTAGGCAGTTGTAGGCCTAATATACTGTATCTGAGCAGTGCTGATTAGAAAAAAGGCAATATTAATTCAAGTGATCTCAACTCCTAGCCTGGAGAGCTTGAATAATTTTGGATTCAGATATCAAGATCTTTAAGAGATAGAGGATCTATCTATCCCTTATTAGAAGAATCTTCTAATAGAGCTGGAAAGGACTACTTAGAGCATTGTGTCCAATCCCCTGCTCATTGCAGCAATTCAAATTAAAATATCTAAGACAGATGGCATCTCAGCTAACACATAGGAAATTGAGTCAACTGCTCACTATGTTTCAAACTTGTACTGTAATGACTATGGAGATTCTCAGTCATCCAGGTCACGGTTGTCCCAAAGATGTCTTTTCAAAAGGCAACTGGACATTGTTTTTCATTGAAGATGTTTCGCTTCTCATCCAAGAAGTTTCTTCAGTTCAAGTAATGTATTATAATGAGTTTCTTTATTGACTAAACATCTGTAGCACTAGAAGTAACATCTACATTCAGGGAAGTGGATGTTTTCTCTCATCTTGCCTGAGATTGTTCAGCTGCAACTCTTGACATTGGGAATGGGTAGGAGCTGAAGACATCCAACTAGCTATGAAAGAACTACATTCTCATTCTCATTGGATAGAAATATCAGATGCCTGGTTTGGTGGTTAGCACTCTCAATGATTTACACAGAACCTTCATAAAGTACCACTTGAAAGAAGTATTCCATCAAGAATAACAATATCTAAAACTTAGGAGCAGATATGAGCCATCATTATTTTTTTTTTTTTACAGTCATGACAATTTCCTTACATTTCCCATTATCTGAATCATTCAGGATCTCCAGACATAGGAATTAAGGCCACTTATGTATGCAGCCTTAGCCACATTTTTAAAGGCTTTGACTGTATCCCTACACTTTTGCAAATTTGATGGGAAAGGTAGCTTTTCTCAAAGCTTTTGTGTAAGTGTGTATGTGCTGACGCTTCTTCCATCACTCATGAAGTTGTGTGATTCTACAAAGTGTTTAACAGAGCCTAATGCATTTCTCCAGCTGCTCAAATTGCCCATTTCTGCTCAGAGTGTAGAAATTTTCTTCAGATTATGTGTTCCTAAATTCTGTAACAAGTTCCTGGTTCAATCTAATATGACTGGGTGCATATTCAAGATAAACTACATTTGGAATTTCATCAGAATAAAACCTATTTAAAGATGTATTACTGGAGAGAAAAGGAACATATTTTATGAAGAAAATATATTCAAAATAGTTACTTAAGAGAGTACAAAACAATTATATAAAAGTTTTTGAAATTAAAAGTTAATGTCAGAATGAGTTGGCGCTGACTTATAAAACAAGTATAAGTTTGACAGGGAGTGCAGTCCATCTTAAATCCTATGTAGATTAACCAGGAAGTTTTCACTGGATAATTCTAAGGTGAATTGTCTTCTAGCTCTCTGCAGTCATGTATTTTATGCACCCAATTTATGCATCATCCTGAATTAGCCACTTTGACATTTAAACATTTAACACAAAAGGACAGTAAACACAATCTTTAATTCATTCAAGATAAAGCTGTTCCATATAGGTTGGAACTATGCTTTCAATAAAATTGAAAATGCCTCATGTTATTTGAAAAGATAGTTGGATAGAAACCATTATTTAATGTCCATATTGAATTTAATAAAACACAGCTTGTTTTGATTACAGTGTTCTATATTTGATCGCATAAGGAACAAAAGATTGATTATACTCTGTCAAAATTGTTTTCTGAGGAGATTTGGAATTGATGAAATCATCAGAAAGAATTTCCTGTTTGAGAATTATCCTAATGCTAAGTATTAACAAAAGCACCAGATAATTGGAAATAGATGGAAATATTGAAGGAAACAGGGAATTATGTTTAATATGAAAGGCATTCTACACATATCTATTTATATGTACATGTATGCCAACTTAAATAGAGTAGTGTCTGCAGAGGAGAGCAGGGTGTCAACCCACCTCACAGGATTGTTGTTGAGGGGAAAAACAGAAGGAGGAAGATATGTTAGATATGTTTACTGCTTTGAGTTATTTGTAAAAATTTATAAAGGCAGAATATAAACAGCATACAAATAAAAGGAAAGACGCCTAGACAAAGGTTAGGTAGAGTATCCTGGAACTGTTCTTCATGAAAGGTTGTATAAAAATGTTATAAACATGTAAGCATAACATTAATATGAAAACTCCATATTTCCTACTAGCAACTCCATCTCTTTCTTCCTCAAATTTGGAAGTGACTAATTGGCAGGGAAGATTCCCATGAATCTTGCTGTATATTATAGGGATTCTGAATGTCTTAGTCCATGCATAACTAAGGGGACAGGAACTCCAAGCAGCATTTTCTATGGATTCCATATCACTGTGGACAGACACACAGCTGAGTCGTACAAATTATCAGTGTCCTGTGGCCAATGCGAAAAAGCATTGGGATAACTTATAATCATAGCACTGTAGTTGCCATGGCTACTAGGTCAGCAGGTTAGAAACTCTCTCTCTCTCTCTCTCTCTCTCTCTCTCTCTCTCTCTCTCTCTCTCTCTCTCTCTCTCTCTCTCTCTCTCTCTCTCTCTCTCTCTCTCACATAACAATCTACCATGACAGCTATAGCAAAGAATGTCAGTGGGGGATGCTGGCTGCACATTTTGCCTTTGCCATTGTGATAAATTTCTTTAGGTTGTTTGAGGAATGTTTTTGAAAGGCTTTTTTGACATTGCCAACA